CTGTTTTTTGTCCATTTTATTGCACAGTGAACGCACGTTGGAGAGGAATATTCCAGGTAACGGTGTGCAATGTCTGCGCTGGCGGAGACACACAAGCGCACCGGCACGTCTTCCTCTCCTCCTGCGTTTCACTGCGTGAGCAAAGGTGAGCGCACCTTTGACCACAATGTCCAGTAATTCCACGGAAGAAAGAAGAAAAGTGGGAAAAAGATCAGCTGGAGTTGTTCCCCTGATGTCTCCTCTCTCTAGTGAAAGAGTCCGGGTATCACAGCCCAAAACTGATTAACCCAACAAAACAAGAAAAAACAAAGCGCACCAACACACCGAGGCGGCCGTCTGTGGCGCCATAAAGATGGATGGATCTTGTAATGGATCAGTATTCTAGTAATCTGATTACTCTTTACTGTAAAAAGCAGTGTGCAAAACCTTTAGGATGTAGCTTCTCATTTTAGCCAGTGCTATTGTTTGTTATGTTATGTTAAAGATGGTTTATGAGGTAAACGAAGCATCGTCCAGTAACACCACTGTGAGTGGACTGACTTTCTGTAGTACGAACAGGGTGATACGTCTTCTCTCTACCTGATCGCTTCATGTCAGTTTCCTATTTCACTGTTAAACTTTGATTCATTGTATATCAATAATTTAAGCTGAACCCACTGCCTAACATCTTGTCATATTTAGTTAGTGCCATCAACATATAAAAGATGGACGGCACGTCTCCACTTCCTCCCACTGGTCAAAAATTAAGCCAAAACATCCTAGATAAGGCCGCTGCCATCTTCTGCCGTTAGGAGTCTCTGCAGTAGTGATCGGGGTTGGCGCCTCCATATACCCGGTGGACTCAGATAACTAATTAAAAGCTTAAACTTGAACATACATCGGTGTGATACAAACTACCTAAAATGACAGAAACCATGTTTGGGAGAAATGTATTTATATTTTGAGTTTGTCCCATCTGCTATCATGGAGGCCATGGGCTTTATGAACTATACTGCAGTCAGCCACCAGAGGGCAATAGAGGTGTTTTGGCTTCCCTTCTGTAGCCATCATGTTGTCCACCTTTTATATATGTCGATGGTGAGTGCATCCATGCTGTGTATTGTATTCTTTAACCAAAGCAAATTAGTCATTCTGAGCATAGACTCCTCTTATCACAGCTTTGCTGAATAAAATGAAATTGATTTTAACTCCCAAGTAGCTCCATATAAAAATGTATCAAGCATTCTAATGGCAAAATGGAATTTGGCTGATGACATGACGTCTTTTCCTCGTTGCTACCAGAAAAGTCTTCCTGCGGTGCGTCGCCTTACTGCAGACCCCCAGTTATTCATCCAACAGGCTTCCACTTCCACCCCCAACCCCAACACTCTGCCTTCCACCATGAAGCAGTCCAACACTGACACAGGACACAAACTCAACACCCCTCAGCAGGTAAAGAAATGTTGTCTGATGTTGCAAGCAGTTTTTATTTCACTATAGAAAAACATGCGTGATCAATAAATGTCAGCAGCATTTAGTTTGAGAGAGTTGGATTGATAGTAATGTGTGGGAGCAGAAACTGTGAGCTTATTCAGTACATTTATATGCACTTAAGCAACTGGGTTACAGGAGGAATGCGTTGTTGGATTGAAAATAATTCTGAGTCTTCTCGTTGCACTGTTTATTTGCACTGACAAAGACACACAAATAAAAAGTCAGAACTACGAACTATGACCACTACAGTTAAAATAAGAAATGCTTCCAGAATAAGGTCTGACCTGATGCCTGTCCCCTACTCCTGGCCTTATTTTGGATTTACAGTAACCAGGTTCATACGGTGCATGTAAACGCCTTCTCCCATTACTCATGCAGCAATGTGTGACCTGTTTATTGCTGGATATTGAAATTGCCCAGTACCAAGTAATATTGAAACTTGTCCAGTCAAACAGTACCTGCATTTGATCCTTTTTATACCCACATCAAAAGGAAAAAACAACTTCCCATGCCTTGTGGAAATCCAGGAAATTTAGAGACTAGTTTTCTAGTCATGGAAACGCCTGGAAATTTAATAAAAAGACCCAAAATGACCCAAAATGATGCAAAGTGAAAAAAGTCAGCTGTGATGAGAACAGCCAAGCATGCCACACAACTTCCCAGAAACACTGACCACCTGAGACACTTCATCATGACCCTTGCATCAGTAAAAAAAAGGAGGAATAAAACTGGAGTTAAATGTGTCAGTACTAGATCTACCTATAAATAATATGACCGTTTTGTCTGGAAAATGTCCTATGAGGTAAGCCATTTGTATGGTTTTGCAGTCAATTCTTTTAATGCTGTGTGGCTAGCAGCTACATATGAAGTTGAGCGTGGTGTATCTGACAGAGCAGGCAGCAGTGTGCCGAGATTCCACCAAAATGTTATAAAGAGTAACAGGTAAAAAATAAATTCATAGGATTATTTCAGGAAGAACAGAATACAAGTAAAACGATAAAACTCATAAAGTATGGAGAAAACTTCAAGGTGGACCATGTTCGCAAGGCCAATGGCTTCTCCCACACCAGGTATCGAAAGTACTCTACTGGTAGGGATCGGTAGGGATGCACAATATTTGATTATTTTTTGTACGATGATTGATAATTACCTGCTTCTCTTTAGAGATTTCACAGTTTGGTATTTTTGAAAATATGTTATATATTATTATTATAATAAGGCTAAGATGTAGTGAGCAAAGGATGATTTAATATTCCATAGCTCTGATCTAACCAAAGCTAACATCAAAACATCAAAGCTGACATCGTTGTCATTCACACAACATCAAAAAACTGTTCTGATTCATTCCTTTTTTTTTCTAGTAAAGTTCCTTAAAAAACTTCACAAACATACTTGGCTTTGGCTTAAGAATTTATGGATGTTTTTATTTGACTTTATAATTTGTAACTCAAAGGACAATCCACAAACATGTATTATGTAAAGTATTTTAATTTCACTTAAAAATGTTGTATGTTTTACAAATGTAAATAGTTTAAAACAAAAAATACAAGCGATTATTACGCACTAGTGGATGCATTTGTAAACATGAAACGGGTTTTGCACATTTCTGGGTTGTTTCGTAAAACTTTTTATGTGACATTTAAAATGTGTTTACAGAGTAAATTATAGCGACCCACTTATAGAAATAGATAGAAGCTTATAAAGCTACTAGGTCAGAACTTCACAAGGGACTTTTTTAAGTAATGCAGGAAGACAAAATGTTTGAGATAGTTTTTTGTGCATTAGTCCTTTTCCCCAATAACCATAATGTCTGTTTTGTCCTTATTTAACTGCAAAGAAATTTCCATTTACAGATCTCTGGATCAAGGGCGTAGGAACCGGGGAGGACGGGGGGGACGTGTCCCCTCCAATATTGGAGACAGACGCATTTGTCCCACCCAAAAATTATACCGCGGAGGAGAAAAATATTTGA